CCAGAAATCAATGGGACAGGCACTGTGTCACCCACCCACCCACCCACCCGCGTCGCCTTGCTTTGCCCCGCTTCCCACTCGCTCTGCTTCCCTTCCTCCTTTTTTTTCTTCCACCGTTTTTTAGTTTTTGTTTTGCTCCACTTTCTCGTTGGTGGTAGTGGTGGGGGGCTCTCCCCTCCCTTTAGTCGATATGCTCGCTATGCCAACAGAAATGGCGATCCTCCGCCACCTGCATGGATGCTCGCAGGTTTTTCAGTTGCTCCTTCTGGGAGTCACTGAGTTCCCCCTCCGCAAAAAATGCCTTTGCGGCCGCCCAATTGCGCTCTAAGTGCTCCTCCGACCGACTGCGCACCAGAACGCAAAAACCTTGGCTCAGGCCCCACATGAGTAACACATCGTGCACGGTGTACCCTGGGAAGCGCTCGCGTGCGATGGCGCACAGCACCGGGTTACCCACCAGCTCCGCATGACACTGTGCAAGCGGAGAGTACTGCTGGAGAACGATGTCGCGTGCATGGCAGAAGTCGCGGACGTCTTCCTGCACGCAAAGCGGGTGTAGCTCAATCTGATTTATCACAGGCCTGCTGGGATTGGTGGCGTCAAACAACTGCGCCTCCTCCTCAGCGTTATCGGCCAAGTCGGGAAAGTGACGCGGGGCAAAGTTGGACACGCCCAAGTGCCGTATGACGCCTTCCCTCTGCAGCGCCTGCATCACCTTCCAGCAGCGACGCCGTGCCGCCTTGTGCCCCTCCGCCTCGTGCGGCTTGAGTCCACCGCAGCCGGGCCAATGAATCAAGACACAGTCCGCGTAAGCAATCCGCAGCTTCCGTACACTTTCCCGAATGCCGGTTTCGACCAACTCCTCCGACACCATCGCCTTTGGCGCAATCTTCACCACGACGAACAACTCCTCCCGTGGCACCCCGCTCGCCGCGATGGCGGCCCCAACGTGCTCCTCGTTGTGGTACCCGGCGGCGGTGTCAATGAGACGAAACCCCAGCCGCAGTGCCGCCAGCACGGCGCCGCGACACTCATCCCCGCGGAGCTCGTACGTGCCGACGCCCATGTGGGGGATCCGCACCCCGCCACTTGCCTCCAGGCACGGCAACGCACCCCCTCGCGCCCCGCCCTGCCCTGCCGCCCCCCCACTGACCCGCGCCATGTTTCGCCTCCTCGCTGAAAGTCTCTTGTCGGCCACCGCCGCACCCGCTAAACCCCCCCCCCCCCACTGCTCTACGCACTGCAACGCAGAAAAGAAAAAGAAGCCAAAGCGCGTGCTCGCGCCCACCCGAAGCGCCTTCTCTCTCCCAAATGCACACAACCGAAAAGGAAACGCACCCTACTTCGGCAAACGGCTTTCTTCGCTCCGACACCACCCACAACCAAAAAATAATAATAACATAAACTAACAACAACGACAACAACTAAAAAAAAAAGCAGAAACGCAGCGTTGGCCAAAAAGGAAGAGAAATGAACCGAATCCAATCGTAACGGCGCCCGGAATAGGATGAGTATGGAAGGGGCAGCTGCACTGCAAGACTACCACGCTGTCCGCCCAAAGCCTCCACTATGCTTGCACCTCACAGCACGGAACGCCCCACATGCCCCAAGCCAAACTAACTTTTTTCTCCTCCCCACCACCGCCACCTCCTCCGACTTTCGCAAATTTTATTCGTTCACAGTGCAACCTCAGCTGCCGGGCCGACGTGTACCCATGAGAAAGGCATAGCAACGTTCTCGCAGTGTGGAGGGCGCGAGCCGGAGCTGAAAACACTCACCGTCGACGCGGCAGCCGTCCCATCCACCAAATATAATAATTTTACCTCTAGCGGAGCGAGCGGCGGCATGCGAGCGACGACCCGGCGGCATGCGACTTGACGCCTCCTCCTGCGCCTCCTCCAGCGCTCGATGACCCCGCGAAAGAGCGGCACTCAAGTGACTGAACGCGGAGGGATTCAGATGTGATCCGGCTTCCGTCGTCAAGGCCGCATCTGCGGAGCAGTGCGTGGGGAAGGCGGGATCCGCAGTCAAGCTACGGGAGGCGACACTATTTAACGGGCTCCACTCGCGGGAGCGGAAGTTGTACATGAAGCAGTCGTCAAGGGAGCGCCCCGACGGGAACTTGTCCGCCCCACCAAACACAATCATACAGTGGGACAAGACACACGCAATATGCCCGAAGCGTGGCGGTGGAAGAACTCCGCCCCGCACTTTTACTCGACGCCAGATAAAGGTGGAGAGGCTCAACTCCCAGAGGGCGTTGTCACCGAAGGGGGAAAAGAGGACCCCGCCGAACACGTATAAACTTCTTCCAACTTCTGCATAGCTGCTGGACGCGGCGGTATCGGACGAGTCAACGGCATCACTCGTTGCATGCGCCGACGATGTTGGGTTGGGGTACACCACAGACGAGTGACAGTACCGCGATGCTGGGATCCCCATCAGAGGAAACTGCGAGTCTAGCCCACGCGTCTCCACTTGCCTCCATGCAAATGATTTTTCATCCAGTATCCAGACATCATTGACGGAAACAACACTGTGCCCGCCAAAGAGAATGGCCTTTCCCTCCTCCATCGGCACCAGTGTGTGCGAGCGACGAGCGCTCGGCCACGCGAGGGAGGCAGACTCACGTGTGAGGGATGACGCTGGAGCTGCAGCTACGGGGAGAGAAGAAGAGACAAAACTCCGCAGCACAGGAGAAGGCGCCAGAGTCACCGCCTCCACGCGCTGGAACACCGCCCGAAGTGAACTTGTCAACTCAGCCAGGGGGGCAATGTACAAGTCCCTGAACCAGTCCGTACTATTTGCGCCGCCAAAAATGATGGCATACTTGCCGTTCAGCGTGCAGTAGGCAGAGTGACCAGCCCGACCGCTTGGTGCGTCTCCAACAACCTCCAGCGAAACGGATTCAATCTCCGCATCGGACAGCCTCAGGATCCACGCATCATTTAGGTATTCCCTGTCGTTCGAGACGCCACCAAAAAGCAGCAGCATGTCCTGACGTATCTCAGTAAGGGAGTGGCCGTAGCGCGCGACAGGGCATCGGACAGCTTCATTGCGCTGCTCGGACCCAACGGCATGGCCGCCACCGTGACACCGCGGGTGAGGAGACCGCCTCAGGTGCGTGCACTGTAGCCGGTACTCTGGCGTGGGCACACCGCGGCGGGCGGGGAGGGAGGGAAGGGTCGGAGACGCCTCCGTGAAGGCCTCTTCCACGAGGTCTGCCACCATCCGCCCGCTTCGCGGTGAACCCGCCCCCTCCTCGCGCCTCCGCGTGCCGCCCCCAGAGGCCCAGCCGCCCTAAAAAAGGAGCCTCACCACCCCCCACCCCGCAGGATGTGTTCTTCCCCTCCCCTCCCCCCTGCACAACACCTTTTCCGGTTTGCGTGTGTACTGTTTGTACGCCCTTTCCACCCAAAAACTCTCGCTCTGCCGCCGGCGCGCACGTCTCCGGAGCACTTAACATACGGGAAAAGGCAGAAAAACAGCATCAGCAAAGAGGAAGCAGCTGCTACCCCACATGCACGCCAAACCACTGCGCAGCGCAGTACCCGTGACGGCAACAGCCACACAACTACTGCGAAAAACAGCCGCAGCAAAGAGGTTAACGTCCGGCCAGGACGAAAAGTCGCTGAATTAAGAAAGATATTATTCGCGGCATTGCCAGGAAGTCAAGCGGACAGCAAAGCATATCTTCTCGGCAGCACGGGTGTGGGCCTCAAGCCAAAAAAAAAGGCAGCGGAGAGGCACAGAGTTGCACTGCACCGTCGGCTCCCTCTTCAAAGGCGACGCACCGATCCACCCGTGGCGAAGAAGAAACAAACAAACAAACAAAAAAAAAAAGGCAGCAGACACGCCGAAAGGCGACCCCGCGAGGTGTAGGCCGCCGAAGAGCCGGGAAGAGCAAAACAGAAAAAAAAAAGGACCCCAGGGGGTTCCAAAACGATGAAGTGGAAACAAAGGCACCAAAGAGGAAAGGGAAACGATGACCGTTTCGGGGCGACGCAGGCATCCACACATACAACATTTTTGGCACATGCAGTGATGCGTGTCTACGCCACTCGACGGTCCTATGCGGTGGGCTGACGCTCCTTTTCGTCTTCCGGCATATTGGGGCTTTCGCCCCCCACACAGTTCCCCTCAATGCTGCAGGATGCATTATTGACGTCCTCTTCACCCGCGGCCCCCCGCGCATGCTTCGCCTCAAATAAGTCCTCAATTTCCTCCAGCGTGAGTCCCTTTGTCTCCACCACAAAAAACTGGATAAATACAGCAGCGAAGGCGATGCAGCCGCAAATGACGCTGAAGGTGCCTCCCACCCCAATCGAGCCCATCATGATGGGGAATACCTGCGAGACAAGGGCGTTCGAGCCCCAGTTGCACATCGTTGCCATGGACGCCGCCGTGATGCGCAGGTGGGTTGGAAAGATTTCCCCCATAACAACCCACGGCATTGCCCCGAGGCCTGGGGCGAAGAAGACAAGGTACACGCACAGTAGCGAGAGAAACACCCACCCTCCAATCGCGTACGGCACTTGGTCGCCGAGTGAAAAACCGACCCCCGTCATTGCAATTGTGATTGCGAGGCAGGCGTACGCGCTGATCTGCAACAGCATCCGCCGTCCCCAGCGATCCACGGTGAAAAGGCAGCACATGGTGGAAATGGCATTTATGCCGGCAAGTGGAATAGACAAGATAACTGGAGTCTTGGGATCCTTAAATCCGGCGTCGTACAAAATAACGGAACTGTAGTACATGATGGTGTTGATGCCGGAAATCTGTTGCAGGATGTGCAGCATGCACCCAATGAGCAGACGCCGCCGCATCGCCCGTTTAAAAATGCCGCGGTAATTGGGAGCAAAGTCCTCAGAGTCTTCAGCGTTAGTGACCTCACAGATGTCCACCTCAAACTCCTGTGCCAGCTTCAGTGCCTGTTCCCGATCCCCTTTCACGAGAAGCCAGCGTGGACTTTCCGGTAGAAAGATGAAGAGCCCAGCCAGTTGGATTATTGCCGGCAACGCACCAAGGCCGAGAGCCACGCGCCAGCCGACGTTGATGGATGTAAATTGTACAAGTAGCGCTGTTGCCACTGAGGCGACGCATTGCGCCCCAGTGAGTGAAACACCATTGAACACCACGGTGGCTCCGCGCTCTTTGGCCGAAGTGATCTCTGACAGGTACACAGGGACTGTGACAGAGGACATGCCAATACCAAGTCCCACAACGGCGCGCCCAAGAAACAACATCTCCACGTTCATTGCCGCAGACATGACAATGGATCCAACGATGAAGAGCACATCTGCAATGGCAATGCAGGCGCGGCGGCCGCAGCGCACGGCGAGAAGTCCAGGGATAAACGCACCCACAAAGGCCCCCACAACCGCAATGCTCACAATGAGACCTGCTTTCCAGGAGTGTTCTGAAAAACCAAAGCGATCCTTAATCTGGAAGAGGGCCCCGTTGATGACACTTGTATCATAACCAAAGAGAAACCCGCCAAGGGCGGCAAAGAGTTTTATACTCAGCCGCATCTCAAGCAAAAGGCCTCTGATATCTCTCTTCCTTGCCGCGGTTTTTCTTCTTTTTTTTATCCTTCCTTTCCCCGTTCGACTGCTCTACTGCTCTTTCTTCACCCGCCTTGCTTCTCCGTGGGGGTGGGTACGATTTTGTCTGTGCTTAGTTGTTGTTTTTTTTTTCGTTCTTGGTGTTGTTGCTGCTTCTCGTACCGCCTATGTGTGTGCGTGTTGCTGTACCTTCCGTTTTCCCCTCCTGTTGGAACAAGTTGTGCAACGGTGCCTCGGTTAGTAGCGACCTCAGCCAAACTCGACTGTCTTAGCTGCCCCCGCAGTGATTCCTCCGTTGCGGCGGCAGCCACGCGTTTGCAGGAGAAAAAAAAGAAAAGGAAGGCGCAAAACAGAGGAAAGAAAAGCACAGCATATGCACATGCATATACGTATGCGTGTGTGTGTGTGTGTGTAAGTGGCACCGGGAAACCCCCCCCCCCCCGCAGCCGCAGGAAACAACCACCACAAAAACAGCGGCATCCTCCGCGCGGCGGGGAGGAGATGCGGCCGCGTGGAGCCACACACACACACACACACACACACACGCACACAGACACAGACACACAAACAAACGAGAAACAAAAAACACACACACACACGTTTAAGTCTGGACGTACACACGCGGAGAGAGAGAGAGAGAGAGAGATGTTCTAACAAGAAGAACAACAAATAGTTAAATTAAACACAACCTTCTGAAAAGGTGGAGGCCTGTGCGTGAGTGTGAAGGATGCCGGTGAAAACGGTAACGCACACACACACACGCACGCACAGACGAGGAGAAGAAGAAGAAAACCAATAATAATAATAGTGTAAAGTGTACAACGTCGAAAGTGATAAGGAGGGGGAGGAGGGAGGGGTGAAATCTAAAAGTGTGTCGTGCAGGGGGGAGCGACTCCGCGGAAATCTACCAGGCCGCGGGCGACACCGCCGCCGCCACAACTGGCATCAATCTTGTAGTATCGCAGGGAAGCTGCTGGGCACAGTGTTCCATGGCAAGGCAAGATTTGATGTCCAGTTGGCAACAACGTAGATCGAACGCACTCTCCACCTCTGCCCCGCCTCCTCCTCCGTGGTTACAGATAATTCCTTACTCCCATGCGTGTCTCTCGCGCGCGTGTAAAGGAGGGATGGGGCGGGTTAGTGCTCCACAGGTCTCATGTTCAACGCGACGATGGAACAGAGAGCCATGGATGAGAAACACGGAGAAGCAGGAGGGAAAAACAGTTCTAGCAGTAGGATCAAGATAAAAGGCCCGGGGGGCGTGGCGTCAAGCCACGACAGCCCCGTTGACGTTCTGTTTAATTTCCTTATCAGCCTCTTAAGGAGTTGTGTAGGAGTCTTCACTCATGTCTCCTCGAGGACTATGATGCTGATCTCAGCGGTTTCCGCGCTGTCGTTCAGGCGGTGGACGAGGGATTGCTGGGGCGAGCCAAAAAGCGTCTTCCGCACAAGCGGCGAGTCCGCGTCGTGGTGGCAGGGATGAAATTCGTCATCGAATAACACACGTGGCCCTGTGGGGCAAGCACCACCGCCACCAGCTGTACCGCATGCACCTCCGCCCAGAGCCGTCATTTCAAACAATACGTTGGTCCGCGCGTTCCCCAGCGTTCCGGTAGACGATGGGGTCCATCGCAGCAGCTTACCCTGCGAGGCAACCGTTGTCGGCAGTGCAGCCGCAGCGGCGGTGCTGGTCGTGTTCAGTGAGCCGCCAGGACACTTGATAGAAGTCGCGGGACTGAAACACAGCGCCACAGGAGAGATCGATGGGCATATCATCCTGGGGTTATCGTCCTTGCCCCGCGTACTACTCACCCCTCCAGGTATGGGGGTACACGCAGAGAGAGAGGAGGGGCCTGGCGACGTTGCAGACACCTGATCCACCGCTGCGACGACGAGAGACTTCTACACTCTCATGGTGCGACTTCATACAGGTGGAAGCGGCTCTGGGACTTGAATTGGCGCTGAACGAGGAGGACCACACGCTGCATCGGTGTGCAGAGCACGAGCGATTGACATCCGACCGATTGACGCCACATGTGGCGTGGGCGGAGCAGTCGTCTACCGTCACTACACGCCGCTTGGCGGGTGTGCTGCAAACCGGGCGAAAGGTGAAACAGGCCGCATCGACGGGCCGGCGGCAACGTGGTCGCAGTGGAAACGTCACCTCCGCCTTGTCGCCGTCGGCTCCGTACGTTCTTCGAATGGGATCAAAAAAGGCATGCTTCAATGCCTCGCCTGCGGTTAGGCGCTCCCGCGGGTCAAGGGCAAGAAGCCTCTTTAAAAAGTCGAGCAATGCCACAGACGGCGCAGAGAGACTGTCAAACAACGTCGCCGCACGTATTGCGTCCGGGTAAGAGTGAAAGTCTGTGCCAAGTTTGGCGTAAATCTGATGCAGCACCTGCAGGTCCGACGAGCCGCAGAAGGCCACCGACCCAGTACTCAGCTCAAACAACGTGCAACCCAAAGCCCACATGTCGCAGGCAAAGTAGTCTCCAGCACGACCCATAAGCTGCTCCGGGGATTTGTAGTAGAGGGTCCCACGCCCACCCCAGGCATTGATGCTTTCGTGCATAAAATGTGCGGCACTAAAGTCTCCAAGGGCAGCCTTGACATGCTCCGTCTCGCGGGAGCATGAATTCTGAGATTGCCGTTCCACGTGCTTGCCGTGGGCCTCTGCGCTCGCTGCGGTATTCACCAACAACTTCGCCGCCTCCACCCGCCGAAGGAGGATGTTGCTCGGCTTCACGTCACGGTGGGCGATGCCGCGTTTGTGAATGTGGGCAATCGCAGAGACCACGCTGTAAAGCAAAGGACGCACAACGTCTTCGTTCATAAAGGCTGTGTTGGCCGCACGCAGCTCCCGCGCCACGTCGCTGTCCATGAGCTCCATAGCGAGAAAAGTAACCCGCCTCGGGGATGTGTAACTACTGAGGAGCCTTACAATGTGATGGTGTGGCCCAAGGTACTGCAGGATCGTACCCTCGCAGGGCAGACGGGTAACCGAATGCAACCGCTCGAGCTCACAAGAACTCGTGTCCCTCTCCTCCTCTTCACGCACATCGGCCTCCTCCACCGCGTCCCCGTCGTCTTCCAAGGTGAGGTCGACGTCGTCATGCACGCTCTCCTCGACGTCGTGGCGGCTGTCGCCACGGCGGTGGTCCACGCCCCGCAGAGGGCTGGAGCCATTCTCCTCCCCCTCCTCCTCCTCCTCAGCGCAGCAACCGCCTCCCTCAAACATCGGTGTCGCCGTCCTCGCGGTTGTGGGCGTTGTCGCGCGGTAGGCAGCCGGAGTTCGACGGGGACGATGACGACGCTGCTGGTGGTAGGAGTAGTGATGGTCGGTCTGCGGCACACACCGCAGGGGGATTCTTCCCCATTCCGTCGCCCGCTTCGCAAAGAGGCGCTTCACCGCCGCGAGCTCGCGGGTGGTGTGGTGCCGCGCAAGAAAGACCGCCCCGCTGCCGCCGGAGCCCAACTTCAGCTTGCACACGTCATACTCGAACTCCCCCCGCTCTGCCGCACGGGGCGGGAAGGCCATCTGCGCCGTCCGCGCAGCCGCCAGCTCCTACGACTAGCAGAGTTTCTTCCCCAGCGACGGAACTCTGCCGACCAGAGATCAGATATACGCCACAGCGGACACACACGACACCACCACCCGCTGCGCCAGTCACTAATCGCCCGTGCACAAGCAAAGAGGGAGATAGGGAGAGAGAGAGAGAGAGAGAGAGAGAAGGAAGGAGATTGTGGTTGGGGTAGGAAGAAGATGTCCGTGGGCAGGAAGTGCAAACAGCATGGCATTTCCACTTTAGGGAGGAGAGAGGAGGCGGGGCGTAAAGGAGGAGGATAATCAAAGGTATATATATATATATATATTACTTTTCAAGGAACGTGCGTGTGAGCTGCAGTATAAAAATAAACCGCAATAAAAAAAACAAAAGGCTCCATAAATAGCCACCAGGTAGCAGCCCCTTAGGGAACACTGACGCCCTCGATTGCGAGGCTAGGAAGTACGGCCTGCCCACACTCGTCGTCTAGCTCACTCAACATGAGTTGCATGCACCGCCGAGCGTCTCGAAAGCGGCGCCGCGACAGAAGTGCATCCATGAACATCACGTAACTCTTTTCCGTGGTGCAGTTGGCCGCGATGGAGGCAAACAGCTCCTCACGAAAAAGGTCATTGAGCCCTTGTGCGCCAGCCTGCTGTGTTGGAGGAGGTATTTTGTTCCACTCCGCGAGGGCCTCGCCGTCCAAAAACAGACGACACGTCAGTCGACGCAGCGACGTATTCATGACGTCGTCGTGAACCATCGTCCAGAGTGCAAGCAGTTTGCTACGGGACGGCACACGCAGCTCCACAGCGGGCGGGGAGCCGACCACGTCGGACTCGTACGCGTACCTCCGCAACAGGCTGCGCATGCGCGTGGAGTGGCAGGGCGAGTCCAACGGCACGAGCAGACGCGTCGTGTGGCTCTCGGCGGTCAGCCGCACCATGTCCAGCACCCACCGCGCCGTGTCGCTGTCGTCGCCAAATACCTCGCCAACGAGCTGCCGCACGGTGGCAAAGTGCACCCCACAGTCAAGGGCGGCGGCACAGGTGGGGACGCAGTGGGCGGGGGTCAGGAGGCCGGCGGCGGCGGCCACGCGCAGCACGGCGAGCGACCGGTGGCCCATCCACGCCTCCCTGCGCCCCCCCACACCCGTGCGCATCGTGCGGCAGACGACCGTCACCGCATCCTCCAGGGCCAGGGGGTGGTGCTTGAACACCGCCGCCAGGGCGGGGCTGTCCACGGAGAGGTGATTCCACACCAATCGCGCCGCTTCCTCGTCGTGACCCACGCGCCGCAGCCGTCGCAGCAGCGGCACGCAGCAGCGGACAAAGGGAACATAGACCTGAAAACTACGAAACGTCAGCGCCGAGGCGCAAAACACCATCAGCGGCGACAGGTTTAAGCGGTACAAAAGACGCGGATGCCGCAGTAGCGCACAACTCCACATTCGTCGTGACAGGGACCGCGAGGAACGGAGTTGTGCAACTAAAAACTTCCGAAGCAGGCGCTGTTCATTCGTTAGCTCGGAAGCGCGCCTCTCGCGACGGCCATGGGCCACAGCAGGTGCCTCCACGGGGCCACAAAGAACGTCTACCAGCGTCGCCACCTGACACGCCTGCTGTAGCAGGGGCGAGTGCGGCAGGACAAGCTGCTTCACATCTCGCCAGAGTTCCCCTGACGGGCTAATTCCCTTCTTGTACAGACGTCGAACCTCACTGCGCGGCATGGAAAGAATCTCTGCAGGGTCGCATTGCGTGGGATGGACAAACCCGGTGTGAAAGGCCGGGCCAATCTGCTGCAAGAGGCTCTCGTCGTAGGAAGGGCTAGACTGAATCACCTGTACAAAGTCGTCTTGAAGCATAAATGGAATAAGACACTGGACCTGGGCACCTCGCGGGGCGGTTGCTGCCGCAGTTGCATTGATCCACGTCAGCTTCTCAAACACGGGGACGACACTCTCATCTTGCATGACAAGTTCATGAACGGCTTCTACTAGTAACAGCCGCGTGCGTTGCATGCCGAGCTCTGAAAGCAGCGGATAGCTATCCTTTGCTGCAGCACACACAGAGGTTTCATAGGACGGCGCACGGGCCTGGGGACGGTGTTGATGCCGCGGCAACTGCCTTTGCTCCGTCAACGATTGATGCAGCACCGACACAACCGTTCGCAACGTCTCCACGTCCCCAATGGTGCCTAACGTCTTCAGTGTCCTGCGCATTCGAGCGGTTGCCCGTATCCTTGATCGCGTTTTTGCCCTCGCCACCGGACGCTGCCAGGACTGCATCACCTCCACCCCTCGTGCCGTCTGCCCCGCCTCAACAAGAATTGCCACACACTGTGCGGCGAGTGAGAGGGGAAGGTGGTGCATCTCCCACGCTGGGTCGCGCTGCGCGCCGGACCGCGAGAACTTGATGACCGCCAGCGCACTACTCCACGTGTCGCTAACTCCGTGAAGCGCGGCCGTTGACGGCCCTACTTCTCGTGTCGCCAGTGCGTGTTGCTGCTGCTGGTTGTGTTGCAGTCCGTCCCTACTTACCGCCGGCGCAAGGCGGCCTGCCACAGCGATGCTTGGGGACCGCGACGTCGGCGGGGAGTGGCCCACGGCGGCCCGAGCACACACCTTCTCTAGCGCCTTGAGCCAACTCATAACTCGCGGGCCGTCAAGCCTCCCTCACCGGGCCTCCCAGCGCGTGCGGGTGTACGTCCAGCTACCAGCCAACTTCAGCTCCCTTTGAGGTGGCCCGGCAGGATGCGAGAGGGAAAGAAAGCAGGTGAGCGGACGGGAATCTCAACGCACGGAGAGGGTGGGAGCTCAACGCAGCAGCGCCGAGGAGGCGGTCGGACACACGCAAACAGCCCGTGACCTGCACACAAACAGTTTACAAATGCGTATGGAAGCGGCGGTAAATTTCTCTCTATCTCAGCAGCTCTAAAAAAAAACAAAAACACGCACGCGCGCAGGAAACGTCCACTGCGGAGCCACACACACACACACACATCGAGGAACGCACATTAAAAATCGAAACTACCAGGGCAACAGCGACATCAAAGCAAAAACGAAAAGAAAAAAAAGGAAGGAAAAAAAAAGAGCTACACAACAAAAGCAAATAAAAATAAACAAAAAAAAGACACTTCGTATCCCCCTAGTCGCCCCAGGGAGGATAAGAATATGTTCTCCGCAAGTTTGGCGGGCTGCACAAAGGCAACAACGCTTCAAAACGGCTCGCACTGGATGTATTCTCCGCAATCGGTGTTGATGGCAGATTCTGCGACAGGCGGGGCAAAACTGAAGCGTCCGAGTTGGTACCTTCAGGCTCACTGTAGAGAGAGCCAGATGACTCGATGTTCATTTCCTCAGCCTCCATTAAAGGCGACGCAAAAGCTGCCGGAGCCTTTCTGCCAACTCCTGCAAACGGGGCAACACAGGAACCCAGAGACGTGGCTTCTTCCAGATGCAGAGAGGCGACTTGGGTGGAATCGCCCGTCACCGTTGCTCTCCGCCTCGCAACATTCGACATAGGCTTGGAGAATCTGGCTTCAGAATACGACGCACGTCTCGTCAAAGTCCTCTCGCCTCTTTTTTTTGCTGGTGTCATGGTTTTTGCTAGGTTGTCTTCCACGCTGCTTGCGGGGCTCGACGGAGCAATAAAGTGGGCACCCTCCTTACTTGCAGCCCTCCACACCACCGGCCCGGATGACGAGTACATGCGCTCGCAGTTGCCAGCGGCCAAGGAGGCGTCCCTATCCTCTTCCTTCAAGTATTCCTTTGCAACGGCGCCATCCTCCTCCGCATCCGCGTTGTCGAGTTCCTGCGTCGAGGAGTACGTAGACAGCGTCTCTAGTTTCCCAAACCGGACTAAAACCTGTTCTTCGTTCATGTCCTCGGTCTGTGGGGCATGCAATGAAGCGTAGAATACACTCTTGGTTTCTTCCTCTTCGGCGTTGGTCTGCACCTCCTCCCTCACCACGCCCTTTTGCGTACTATCGTCATCAATATGCGGGCTTGCGTCCGCAACCACTCTGTGCCCTTCCACGGCCTTTATTTGTGTCACCTGGGAGATGCTCCCCTGAGACGCCTGAGGCGCAAGTGGTGCGTTGCCTCGCTCTTCCCTCTGTTTACCATCGCTGGTGTGCAAAGTGGGGTCGGTTGGAGGGCCACTGTGCCCTGGAAGACAGACGCCACTCCCAGTTGCCAGGTAGAGAACCCCATGCTTGTCGTGCAACAACGGTAAAGGCGCAGCTGTGGGTGAATACTCCTCGCGCCCCAGAGACTCCTGCCGCAACGCATCGATGTTCAAAATAGCGGGGGTAGCCATTGTTGCTTCTGAGCCTGTATCCACGTCGGTGCGGGCGCTGGGGTCGTCGAGGCACAGGGGGTACGAGGCTGGTCCCCCAGCCTCAAGCGGAGAGAGCTCTGCCCTCCCAGGCACGCAAGAGCTGGTGTAGCGAGGCTGTTGCGAGATGGAGGGGTGGAGGTACCAGCCCCGCGGTATCACAGACTCAGGGATTTCACCGATGCGTGAAAGATCAGGTAATCGAGCCTTTGGCGGCTCCTCATCGACCAAGCGATGGAGGTATGTGGCTAACTTCCTCGGAACAACCCTGTTACACACCCGCGCTGCACGATTGCACCACCCTGGAAGCCGCAACTTCTGCACCGTGGACAGCAAATCACAGAAGCGCTGCGCAAAGTGGTTGCAGTTGTGATTGAGAATGTGATAATCACCGCTGCGCCACTCATTCTCTAGCCTGTGCAGAATGGTGTCCACCTGCTGCGGGGACCGGGTGGTGACGCCCAAGAAAACTGTGCGGTAGAGAGTGCCAGCGGCCTGCCCTGGGTACACGCAAAACATTCCCGAGGCGTTGGCCGACTCGACGCACTCCCCGTACCCCCACTCGATGCCGTATACGACGACGCCGCAGTGGTAGACGCCCATTCCCACCTTCTTTAGCCGCTTGTTCTGCTCCAGCAAACTATACACGTTTATTTGCACCGCCACCTCCACACACTGCCGCGGAATCGTTGTTGGTGGGGTACACCTCCTCAGGCCCTTCTTCTCCATCACGGCAATTGCCGCCCGCTTGTCGGCCACGGCATCTTCCGCGTTTTGACAGCAGCAGAGCCGCATCTTCTCCCTACGGCGTCAACCCCGCACTATTCTGCCTTTACAAGTGTGTTTGCCCCCCTCTCCCACCTTTCCCCCTCCCCACTCTATTTGTTGCCTTCTAGCCCTCCGCGTCGGGCGCACGCCACCACCGTCTTGTGGCCGCAAGTAGCTGTAGAAAAACACGCCCACGTCGCCGCTCCGCAGCGGCGGCGGAGGGCGGCAAACAACGCACTACGCCAAGAAGGAAAACGGGGGAAAAACAACAACAACAAGATGAATAATAATAACCATAAAAGCGAAAAAAAAAAGGAGGAGGGAGAGAAAGAAGGACGCACATTTTCTCATGACGCAAGACGCCTGCGCCGTATTTCATCGCACCGGAGGCCCCGGCGAGCCACGGAGGGCAGACGTACAAATGTACTGGGGGTTGACGCCTCCGCTCAGCACCACCACCACCACCACCGCCACCGCCGCCGCCAACAACAACAATAGCAACCGAGCTCAGGAGGCCGCTACGATGCGAGGGGATGCACGCCACAGCCACTCTCTCCCAACATCACAGAGAATAAGATAAAAAAAAATGGACGGCGACTGTCAAACGAGAAACCAACAAACGAACAAAAAAGCAACAAAAAAGTACAAGATAATTACAAGAGAGCGACGATAGCACCAAGGCGGTAGCACGCACGAGGCCAACAAAAAATGGGCGTTAGCTCTGTTATTCATAAGCGCCTTCCGCTGTGTGGCCAAGAAGGGTCCAAAATAAGTGCGTAAATGGGGGA